CAGGGGCTAGAACCCAAATGAAAGGAGGGGGACAGAAATTATAAAGGGATTTGGGGTTGATGAAATCCTGCAACAGATAATTTATAATGCAATGAAAAATAGTGGATTCAAAGACAACCAATTAGAAACTATGAAAATAACGGGAGAGAAGTAAAATAATCTGCTCTAGGCATGGTCCCAAATTCAACTACCAAAATCATCTTGCATCTCCATGCCAATGCATACAGACAAAGAACAATAGAGAAAGGGGGATGGAAAGAAAGAATGTCAGAAAGCAAGTCTATCATTAATTGTACTAAGAAAATTCTATACTCTCACAATTCTATTCATCTACTTTATCAACATCCCAATGGCTGCCTAGCTAGCTGACAAATATGTTAAATCTCTTCCTTAGCCTATTTTAGTTTTTCTCACTGAGCCCACTATGAGTAAGAGAATTATTTCAGTAGAAATACAAAGAGGGAACTGATCATCAACACTGAAAGACACATTATGTTAATGTACATTCAAGGTAGGTTTAGATGCAAGCTAAGTGATTTTTTTAGTAAGAGTTGGGATATGGTAGGGCACTGCCATGGATGTCACCACTGGATTCCCATGTCAGTTCTGCTAATAATGTTGTTGTTGTTGGGTGCCATTGAGTCACTTTCAACTCATAGCAACCCCATGTGACAGAACAGCCCCATAGGGTTTTCTAGGCTGTAATCTTTACGGGAATAGATTGCCAGGTTTTTCTCTCTCGGAGCTGCTGACTGGATTTGAACCACCGACCTTTTGGTTTAGCAGTTGAGCGTTTATCATGGTGCCACCAGGGCCCCTTCTGCTAGTAACTAGCAGTCACTGAATCTCTCATCCTTGGTTTCTTTATCTATAAAGTATAGGGATCAAATTATAAAATCTCTTACATTCATTCCAATTCCCAAATTCTGATTTTCATTTTTGGCCATGAGACATATGAAATAACTAGGACCACTAAGGGATTCCCTTTCATGAGAAAGCTAAATACTAGAATGATGAAGTGATGATTAGTTGTTTTTTTTTTTAATTAAAGATTAAAGATAATTTTGAAAGACAGTGAAAAAATGTTTTTTAAAAAAGGAGAGAAAAATACTGAAACATAAAAGAAAAAGGGAAAGCTAGAGAAAAAGAAGTCAAATATCTGAAAATTTGCATTAAAACACTTAGAAAACTACCTATATTATAGAAATTCTGTCTATATATGAAAATTTTATATTCCAACTGACTTTTTACTTCAGAGGAAGCTCTCAGGATCAAATGGATTACCACCTTCACTAAAATAGGGAATAAAACCCCTGTAGGTATTAGCATATGGAGCTGGAACAAAGAATTGTCAAACACAAAAGTGGTATGTTTCACAAAAATATGATGCTTAGGATATCTGAGAAAATTCCATTAATGCTATTTTAAGATATTAATACCTAAACATTTCCAAGTAACTTATAATGTTATATTTGTGAATTTACTTCAAGGAATTGAAGAATCAACTACCAACTCCTATTCATTTGCTACTGTTACTTTCTTAATTTCCTAATGGGAAATAACAATTTCCATATTTAAAATAAATTTATTTGAATACAGTTAATTTCCATATTTATTTTAAATAATCAAAGACTATTCCCTGACAACCAATTTTAAGTTGTTCACTAAGATTTTCTATAATGGCTTCATCATCTGCTTTCAGATGATTTGCTAAGAAGGTTCCCCTGGTACTTTGCATAACCTCAAAAACAGTCCTGAGTTTTCTCTGCCCCAATAAGTCACATGACGGCAAAATTCCAGCATAGTAGTAGTAGTTCTGTTTTGTCCTGTTTAACAATTCTACAACAGTAGATGTATTAAAAACAATAAATTATTACAGAACTTTTAATTTAATGAACCTATTGTAGATTTTCATTTTAAATAAAAATTAAGTTTTTAACTCTTCAGACATTGCAACCAGGTTATTATTTTCATACAATCATGGAAATTTAAAATGCAAAGTTAATTGAAATTATAAAGATGAAAAGCAAGTGTTACGCCTGTAATAGTGCACGAGCTAGTCATGATTTACTTAACTTTCAAGTCAGAACACAAATTAAGAATTTTAGTGTGACGTGCCAGATATTTCAGACATAGAAAAAGCACCCAATAGAATCTGTACCAATTACAAACTTAAATACACAGCTTATAAGGCGAGAAGATCATGCTGAAATATGGACAACAAATAATGTTTCCCGTATTTTAAGAAAATGAGGCTGCATATAAATCCCATCACCATTTTATATAGTACCAAACTTCTGTAAATAACATTTTTCCAAGCTTCGTATTGTGCCCCAAACCAAAAATATCTGAAAGAAACAAAGAACACTGATACTTTGAGCCTAAGAAATTTTTTTTGCTTATAACAAAATTTAAAAGAAATAAATAGTACACAATGGGACCCTATTAAAAACAAATAATATAAAATTTAACATCATAGGTATATACAGGAAATCTGCCTTATGCTCTAAATTTTATCCTATTTTTATAAATGAGTGTTTTCTATTTACAATCATGCTGAGTTAAGGAAAAATTACAACTTTTAACTTTTTCCTTATCATTTTACTTAATCTACTTCCTTTCTTTAAAAATGTATTTTATAATTGAAATATAAGACTATGCAGTTTGGATTTATAATTAACCAATACACAAACAATACAAAAACTCCAAATGTACAAATGTACATATTGTTATAGAGTGAAAGCTGAACCAATAAAAATATGGAATTATATTTAGATACCCTCAAATAAATTATAAAACATAATGACAAGGGACAAGAAGATGTTAAAACATCCTCTCTTATTGAATTAAATAAGTATATTCAGCCAACATAAGTGAATAAAACAGGAACTATTGCTCTGGTCTATTTTGGACTAGAGTACAATCATAATAAATAAATAACTTCATTCTCATATATGCAGAAACAATCTATAAAAAATCAAGGTAACAAGGACAAGCAGGATTACCCCTTCATGTAAGCACTTTTTAAAACTGATGATATAATTTAGATTGTCTGTAATATCCAAATAAAGAGGCTTTCTAAATGTGCTGCAAACTGAAAGTGATTTTCAGACTTACTCCTGAAAACCACTGTCATGTAGAATTCAAGACATCCTACTTTGCATATCTATTTGTCAATTTACTTTCTTCTCCCATTCCACACACATTCCTATTCCTGTTCCCAAATTAGATTTTTAAATCCCTGAAGATAGGACCTAGCATCTTTTTATTTTCCTGTTGCACCCAGCATTGTGGCAAGCAAAATACGGGGTCCTCCATGCTTACTTAATGAATTGATGAATGCATGAATGGGAGTGAAAACACATGTAAACTTCATAACTGTTGGGTTTTTTGCCTTCTTTATCTCAATCCAGTTATATGAATAGGGATTCAATAATGTCAAATAAAGTATAATCTCTAAATTGCATTCTACATGAAAATACATAAGCATAGCTTTCAGAAAACCATTTCCCAAGTTGTACTTTGTAGGACATTGAACTGTGGGATAGTAAAAATTTCTTCCCTGCCCTTAAATAAAGGTTTCCATGGTCAAATAATTTGGCAAATCCAGTTAAAAATAATTCAAGTAACTTTTCTTTACCACTAGACTCCTCAAGGTATATGCTATGCTAATGTATTGCTCTCAAAGTAGCTATCAAAAACCACTTTTGGTCATTCCAGCAAAAGAATGTTCTAAGAATAGAGTTCGATAAAAAATGTTTTTGAACAATAAAAGACACCATATTAAATCTTTTCATCAAAATAGTATCATGGATTTGAAGGATATATTTACTATTCCATGTATTATTCAGAATTCTTCACTTCTATCTCCACAGGAAGTAGAATGAAGGCAAAACTATCATGAGAGTTCTTTTGCACTCCATTTTGAGAATGAAGGGGAATATCTATTTATGGCTGCTGATAACCTCTGTAGGGTTTAGTTGCTACTCTGAATTTAAGACTTGTCTTCATTTTTCTCAAAATATGTCCTAGATTCCTCTGTTGACCTTTCTTTATAAACATGTATGCACACGGACACACACACACACACACACACGTAGTAAATACACCTTCTGACAATGGGTATTTATGCTTGATTAATCTCTGGAAGTGTTCAGAGAACATTCATACTCATCTAACAAATGGGGTAACTACGATATTTCTATGAGAAAAATGTCAATAGATATTGTCCTGAGATTTTATGCAGGTCCATTGTGATTCTGCAAAATAATTCAATTGCCTTCGGAATGACTAAAGTACAAATATAAGGAAAGATGTTGTTTCTGCATAGGAGAAAAATACTACGGGAATTCAAAGGGAAGTAAGAAACTAGTTAACTCTAGACTATTGACTATCACAAGATTTCTATCTAGTACCAACCCTTCCTTCCACTGGCTGTGTGGCTTTGAGACATTTCTCAGTGTCTCAAGATGTCTCGTGTCTCATTCATAAACGAGAGAAAGTAACAAGTTTAGTGGCTTTCAAACTATTTGCCTTAGGAGCTGCTATGGTAGTGGATTGTCAAGGTAAAGAACAGGGGTAGAGTCTCAAATAAGTGGGACTCCGTCCTCAGTCACATCTTCCAACTAAGCAGCTCCACTTTCACATGTTTTATATATTAAAGTTCAGAGTAATATTTAATTTTTTAAAATATTCTTTTTAACTCATAAAATAGAAAACCAACCATAGATTTCATGATCTAAAGTTCTGTTTACATATAACATGCTCTAGTTCACATTTTAATGAATGTTTGCATCTCAAAATGTATTTTTACATATTTTTCTATTCATTCATGTGCTCTTGGTTCAAGTAAAATAAAAACCTTAACCACTCTTGTTATTTTTATGTAGCTTATTTTACCATTTTTCTAGAATCTTTCTCTCTTATAAAAGAAAAAGATGAGTTGATGTGTTGATTTTCAAAATAAAATTAAAGACAACATGGAGACTGGATGACATCAACCCATGTTTAACTTCAAAGTTATCTTTACATGCTGCCTTTTGGCACTTAAATACTATACTGCATTATCTTTGAGGTAGAACCAAAAAAAAAAAAAAAAAAAAGGCAAAACATTCACATAAAGAGGGAAAATGGGAATGAAAGCTCTGAGAGATTACTTTCTAACACTATTATTATTAGGCTTTGCAGTCTTCCTTGACACAAAGTTGAGAAATAGTCTTCTTAATACGGAGGGCAGTTAGGCGAGCTGCTCCACTGGCATACCAACATTCACGCATTATTCTGCCCATGACTCGGAGTGCCTTTAAGGGAGAGAAAAATATCAAAGATTTTAGCTACTCATACAAAACAGAATACAAATGAAGCAAAACAACAAGGCGAGGAATTAACACGAACCTTTGCTAAAGAAATAGTAAACTCAAACTAATAGCTTAGCTTAACTAGTAAAGAATGTCTGCCTTGAGTATTGTGCTCTCTCAAGATCTATCTATATGGGATCAAACTGACAACAACAACTTGAAAGATTAAATAAGACCTTAGGGGGCAATGAGTTTATGTTTACGGGAAAGGAACAACTCAGAAAATGGGGAGGTGAAAATGGTTGCACAACTCGAAGAAAGTAATCAATGTCACTGAATTACATGTAGAAACTGTTGAATTGATGTTTTACCATGTATATTCTCAACAACAACAAAGTAAATAAACTAAAATAAATGGCTATCTTTTAAAGTCTTTTAAGTGTAGAGGCAGAGCCAACATGGTGCTATAGACAGAAGCACCACGCTGTTCCTCCACAGCAAAGACCTGAAAAACTAAGTTAAACAGAGACAAATGTCAGTCTTGGAACTAGAAGCATCAAATGAAGAGATCAACAACTCAACCAAGCACTGAGTGGAATAAGAAACCGACAGAGAACAGACAGCGAGGAGAGTTACAAGCAGAGGTCCCCTATCAGCTAACGCAGCACAGATTCACCATCTTGGACTCCTGTCGCTGATTGGCAGACAGGGAGTACGGGAAAGGAGATTCATGGCACTCCTAGCAGGAGACAAAGAACCCACTAACCAGTGAGACACGCTTTCTCACCCCCCAGCCTGCCTCCCCCTACTGAACCTTCGCCACTTCCCAGAAGGCTGATTCCCAGCATGCCAATCCTTGGCTTCCCAGAGGGCTGATTCACTGCTTCTTGGCAGGCCGATTCCTGGTTTCCCAGAGGGCAAAGTTGCTGCTTCCCAGCTGGCCACGACCGCGGCATGGAAATTGCCAGTTCCATGCCATGCAGATTCGCCCTGCCCACACCAGCTGGCTTCTTCACTGCCATTTCTTTGTTGCTGTTATTGCTTTTTTTTTGGCCTCTTTCGTTTTCTTCCCTGCCTCTCACCTCCTCCCCCTCCTTTCTCTTGAACACCTGACTCCATGTGCCATCTTTGTTTCTTCTTGACAGACTGTGAAGTGCTGCTCAGCTGGGGAACTGCTTCCACGGTCCACTTCCCTGGTTCGCACAACCACGCTGGTGGGATTCCTGGGGGCTTTTTTTTTCCTTTGTTTGTTCTCTCTTTCTTTTTTCCTTTTTATTTTTCTTCATTTCTCGGCTTCTCATCTCTTTCTACTTACCTTCTTTTCCTGTCTCCTAAATACCTGGCACTGTGTATCATCTCCACCCCTTCTAGCAGGGCTGTACTGCACAGTCTGGAAGCTGCTTCCCTGGTCTGCGCAGCTGTGCCAGTGGGATCCCTGGGGACTTTTTTTAAAAAATTATTTATTTATTTATTTTTCCT